TTTGTATGAAATATAAAGCATGATAACTGGTAATCATATAAACAAAAGGGTTTTTAAAAACTATACAAATCGTAAATACAGTTATATGGTTTGCAGTGAAAACGAAAGTTCAGCTTTTTAGAGGGTAATTGTAGTACAGATATAAAAATTTAAGTAGAAATAAATATCAACATATTTACAGAGTTAAAATTTCAGGCGTTCATTCCAGCCCTACTTTTTAAGCGATTACCAAATTCTCATTTAACTGGTTAGTTACTGAAATTCTGCTGCCAAAAACTATTTGTATAGCCGCTTTTTTACAATGATTGGTATAGTTTCTGAATATATAGAACATAATTATTTAAATAACTGATACATTTTTGAAAATTAAATTTTTTTTTGAAAAATCAGCGAAATTTTTGGAAAACACAAAATTTTATTGAAACACTTTATAAAACCAATATTCTTTTTTTTTGGAATTTTGCCAAAAACTATTTGTATAGCCGCTTTTTTACAATGATTGGTATAGTTTCTGAATATATAGAACATAATTATTTAAATAACTGATCAATTTTTGAAAATTAAAATTTGTTTTGAAAAAACGGTGCAATTTTTGAAAAACAAAAATTTTATTGAAATACTTTATAGAACCAATAATTTTTTTTGTTTGGAATAAGATATTGCCTTAAAATTTTGAGRAATTTTTATTGCAGACATTTTACATTTCTGGTTGGACGGGTCTTAAATTATTTTTTTTTTTTTGTTAAATTCTCAGTTTTTCAAGAGAAACTGCATTTACTGCTTATACAATTTCGAAATGCTGTAGTGATTTTAGTCCTTTATTTAGTAGCGAAAATGTAGTTTATCTGAACTATTTGCATTGGAATTTGTCAAAGCATGATGTGGTTATTAAATCGGGTATGTTTCGGTTAAGTAGGCAATACTGACTTTAAAAACTTTTCGAAAACATTTTTTTTTGTGATTATATAACTAGTGACGTTTATTCAATAATATTTAACATTACAGAGCTAGTAACTATTTTTACCTACATATGTTTGTATATTTGCGAGTGAGAGTTGAGTTTATTGGGAATAAGTTAGGTTATGTAAAAACAATAACGTTGTAGAGATATGTATGTTTCAGAATAAGGCTAATTTTGGATAAATGCTGCAGAAATTTATATACATATATGCATTTTTTTGCTGCGATTMAAAATTTATAAATAAATTAGTGAGTTTTTAATTATTATTGGAAAGATTTCGGTAGCTGCGGAATATACAGTACTGATTCGCTTAAAATGCTGAATTTTGGCATGTAATATATTATGAGACAACAGCAATCACGATAAAATTTGATGTAAAATTCTGAATTTTGGCATGCCTTATAAGGCAACAGCAAGCTTAAGACACGATAAAATATGAAAAGAATTTTTTGTTGGCTTTAATTAACAAAAAAAAAAAAATATGCGTAAATTAAAATAAAAACGAAGTACTAATAAGTTAAGGCTATATTTTTGAATAAAAAAAAAACATTTCTTGAAATCTTTACGCTAAATTTTTGCATTTTATATAATTTTCTTGCAAGCACTTTCGTTTTCCTGCAAAAAAAAATGATTTCAATCTATCAGGACTCCTCAATAAAGTAAGTGCAACGAGTAGCAATAACAACATTGAAAGAAACAACAAAAAAATCATATGAATATCGAATAAAATAAAAACAKAAACAATAAATGCACCTAAAAAGCCGAAAACGATCACTTCATAAACAACTTAAAGCGCAGACACGGCGCTAAATGCATGTAACGAGTAACGGACGACAAGTTACCGAGTATGTAATGCAGTACATAACAGGAGAAACGCACAATATTTAAGTAGACAAACGGTATTTTAGAAYCACTTTTCTGTTTTTTGATACGGCGACGTGTTAGGTGGCATTGAGAAGAGCAACAAGTTATGGACAAAATAATTAAACTTATAAGAGTTAGCAATCAGGGTGTGTGTGTGTGTGTGTGTGTCTGTGTATGTGGAATGGTAACGTTTTTTTACCCAAAATGCCTTTTACATAATTATTTCCAGCCCAAATTTAGGTTAGGTAAAACTGCTTTTTCTTGTCCCATAACATGATTGTTTGCTTAAAAAATTAATTTAATGATACCCAAAGCGAATTATATGTGTGTTAAAGTAAATTAATACTTTTCATGAAATATATATAATTTTTAAATATTTTTTAATGCAATTTCTTATTGAATTTTAATATTAAAATTTTATATTTTTTGTTATTTTCACTGTAATTAATTAATTAGTATGCCAAAAGTAAAGTAAATGCAATGCTTTGCTGGCAAACTCATAAAGTTCCGACATCAAATACAATATTGAACATGTGAAACGTTTATGACGTCCCATTTGACAAAAAAAAAACAAAAAAACAATGATTTAAAAAATATATACTACATATCGTCTCATAACATTCAAAATAACTTATCATCAAAAAAAAGCGAAGTTTAGTTTTTTATTGCTTACGATTCACTACAACATAGCTTTCGCTGTTAGTTATAACAAATATATCACTATTTTATAAACAAAACTGATTTTTATTTTCATTATTAGTGGTTTCTCTTTTATTATTTTTCATTATTTATTTTATATTATTTTTCGCCTGTGAACTTATGAAAAGTTATGTTACGTTATTTTGCATTTTAGGTGACGATATGCTCATATACATATATAGAGCCTTTTTAATTGACCAAAAATGTAGTTTAATTATTTATATAGCATTTATGTATAACTAACCGAAAGTGTGGCTTTGCTTAACAAAACTGCAAAGAAAAAATTTTTTATTATTTTTTTTTTGTTTATTAGCAATATATGAATTATACCGAATTTTTCGTATCAAAAATGTTAAAAGCTGCTATAATAAACTTTTTGTTGTTGTATTTATCCGTACTTGTGTGTTAATATCGCCT